TGGAGCTGTTCTTTTCCACTGCCGGTTTTCCTCACCCTGGCCGCGCGACCTGTGTGATCTCTTCAGCGGCAGCACTGCTGCAGCCTTCAAGCCGATGCCCAGGCTTGCCGCAGCCCAGACTTCGCCTCGCCGTCTTCATGTCTACAGCCTTTTGCTGGCTGGAAGCCAAGAAACAAAGCTGCCGACAAACATGCCACGCTTTGTCCTGGCAAGCATGTGTTACGGGCAAGTACTGTAACAGCCGGACACGTTTTTTTTTAAACAGGCTTCCGGCGAGCAAGGCTAGGGTTCGTTTGTTTTGGGACTGGTTGGGTCTGTGGTGGGTTGCTTGGCTGGGTTTATTGGATTTAGTGGCTAAAGGTGGTTTAAGGTATGTTTAGGGGCGTCCCACCCAAGTCCTAAATCCTGAAGCAACCCACTGTAATGCCTTCCTGAACAGATGCCTTGCCCCACCGGCCTGCCAGCGTGGCTGGGGCGAAGTTTTAGGTGGCTGCGGCGGAGCGTGCTTGTACCTTGTGCCTGTGGGGCTGGTGGTGGGGCCTTCTTTGAGAGGCCCTTTGGGCACTGACGTCAAAGTTGGGTCTGCTGACCGGCGTGGCCGGCCGACACTGCGCTTTGAGCTGCGGCCCTTGGTGCTGGGGCAGGAGGTGCTGGTGGCTGTCTCAGCGGCTGATCGGTCACGTCTTGACCCGAAGACAATCTTGAGAGCCTTCGGAGGAGCTTCTGAAGACTCACGTTCGGTCGGGGCAGGCTGCTTGATCTGTGGCGCTTCGTACACCCGCCTGGTATTATATGCGGTACGAGGTGCGTGGCTCAGCATCTCTTGCTGAGAGGGGGCCAGGTTTAGGTGCTACGCAAGATCTCTGGATCATTGCATAGATTTTGTTTGGAAAAGATCCAAGAGTTTGGAAAATTGACAGAGGCGCATTGGCATCTCACAAGCGTAGCCAGGGCTTGTTTTCACGCCGCCACCCACCAACCCAGCCATCCACTCGGCGCGAGCGGCGTGCGCCAAAAGCCAAGCAGACGACGACCGCATGTCCAGCATCCCACCCCACAAAAACGACGAGAAAAACCGGTGTTTGCGATGTTTTCCGCATATCCTTGCTATCACTTTCCCTCAGAACGACCCCAAGAAGCCAATTTTGGCCCAAGGCCGCTGATGCCCTTGGGATGTTGGCGAAGATTTGGGGGATGGTGGTGGGTCTGTCGGGAGGCCGGGTCAAGCATGTTTTAGGGTCCAATTGTTTTGGCTTGTTTGTGCCCGGATGATGCAGGCAACGCAGGGATGCGCATGAGCTTCGACAAAGCGCGTCAGCCGTATATCCTATGGGTAGGGTTGCGCCCGCCCTTTGGGCTCGAGGCCACGTAATCCAGAGGCGGACGCTTTGTCGAGATTCTTCTCCAACCGGACTTTTACGAGTACTTCCAAAGGTATCCTCGGAAGAGGTCTTGCGAAGTTTCTTTTTTTGCTCCTGTGAAAGGGCTGTTGCGCAAGATCTTCCAGCGAGAGCCTTGTGCAGGGCCCTGTCGCTTGGCAAGCCGATCTTGTAGACGACTGCCCGTCGAGATTGCTAGGACCTGACTTTGAGCATGATATGGCATTCCCAGAGGAGCAAGTAACCGCAAGGTGGGCTTTTTGTGTGTTCAGATTCGAAATTCTGGGCAAATGCCATGTCCTTGTTGTACGAGTTTTTTTTTGGCAAGGATGCCATGCCCTGGCTCGGTGTTCGACTTGTGCTTAGGAAACCCCACAACAGTTGAAGCCGTTGGGTGCCTGTATTGGTCTGAAGGAGCCTCTCTGGGTCAGCCCGTGGCGATCTCTCGTTGTAGCCCGTCCAACTTTCAACGGGCTGAAAACAGCCGGTTTGCCACAACGGGGGGCGGGGGGCCCTGGCTTCTCGAGCATAATGAATGTACTCGCGTGTGCATGACGTGTAGATGAGGTGTGTACATGTACATATAAACACATTGCAGTTAAACGACTTGTTCATGTACTGTATGTGTGATTGTGTTTTCTTCTCGAACAAATGTACATTTTATATTTTCGTGCTGTCAATCCAGAGGTGCAAATACACGGCGTTTTGACACTGGGATTAACCAGGAGAAGGGCATGCTTAAGCCAGCGTGTCACCCTGGTTCAGGCAGCTGCAAGCTTCTCCTGCAGGCTGAAGCCGGTGAATGAGCCCATCCTCGTAGATACAGAGAGGCTACCTGAGAAATATTTTCTCCGTGGGGGAGGTCAAGGAGTCTACAATGGGCAGCAACAGGCTGCGGAGGAGGCCGGGAGCAAAGGGAGGGGTGAGGAGACGGAGCAGAGTTCCAATGAAAAGACTCGGAACAAGAAGGAGGAGGACCAAAGCTGGGGCGGCTGGAACAGCTGGGGCAGGTCGGGCAACTACAAGCAAAGGTGGGAGAATCAGGAGAGGGGTTGGGAAAAGCAGGAGCCTTCGGCAGTAGAGCGAAAAAGGCCTATGGAGGAAACCTGGCCAAACTCACCTGAGCAGCCCGCAAAGCGCTCCAAGTCTGTCTGGAAGAAAGTTGAAAAGCGCAACATGCCGGGCCATTTCTTCTATGTGGATGCTGAAACCGGAGATGTCTCCGAAGCACCGCCACAACTCTTTGAAGAAGTTGTCTGGGAGTGCAAGGAGTCAAGCACGGCTCGAGGGGCCTATTACTATTTCAATCGGGATTCAGGCGAGACCAGGGTGGACAGACCGAAGGGCGTGAAGATCATAAATGATGTGCAGCAGGCCAAGGCAAAGACCAAACCAGAGGAAAAGAAGGCGGAGTCTGGCATTCCCTGGCAGCGAATCGAGTCCAAATCGCAGCCTGGACTCTACTACTACTTCAACCCTTTGACAGGTCAAACTGACACCATGCCTCCACGCGTGCAGGCCGGGCCAAAAGGCTTGTCGAGCATTTAAGACTTAAAGAGAGCTATGTGTTGACGCAGGCTCCCTGGCAGCTTTTGGAGTCGAAGTCCAAAAGAGGGCAATGGTACTACTTCAACCAGTCTACGGGCGAAAGCACGGAGGTGCCTCCACGCTGCGCTATGCCAAAGGGTGAGCAGCCCTCCGCAAGGCCTAGGCACATGAAACACCTTTTGACCATGCATGTTGTCAGTCAAAAGACGGATCAATTGTTTGACGCGCCATGATTGATCCAATTCCGTGTAGTTTTATTTTCGCAGTTCCTTGCAATTTGAATGGTTGCACTTGAGAAGTTGGCGGAAGGCAAGATGCACGTGGTCAAAGTGAGGAGTGGGAGAAGCACATGTCCGCGAAGCACGGCAAGTTTTATTGGATCAACACAAGGACCAATGAAACCAGATGGCAGCTGCCAGGCAAGACCAACGCAGAACGCCCCAGGGCCAAGGACCAATGGGAGCGCCTGGAATCCTCGAGCTACCCCGGCAAGTTCTACTACAAAAATCTCGCCACCGGTGAGACGAAATGGACCTCCTGATGGGATCGGCGCCGATCCGGAATCAGGAGCACAACTGCACAACTGCTAAGATAGCAAGCAGAGAGCCTTCCTGCTGCTGCAGTGCCATGGATAATGGCCCCATGCAGGATAAGGAGGAGCCTTGTGTACACGTCATGTTTTAATCCGGCAGGAGCGCATCATGTTAGTGTAGGCACATGCAAAGTACGTGAAGCTGCAGCGCATGCTCAGAAAAGGAGTTGTGGGCCAGTATCCCCCATACGATTCACGAGGTTTGCGTTTTAGTTCTTTGACGTAGTGAAACGTGAGATGTGTCAGCTGTGTGCATGTACTGGCCCTCAGGGTGTGCAGGGCCAGATTGCGGAGATGCTCCGCAGCTTGGCAAGCAAGGCTTCTTTGGCATGCTGCAAATTCATAGGCCTTTTGCAGCTTGGGTTTACAACGTCCGAGGTGCAATGCTGGATCCGGCGACCCTGGAGGGCAAGGAACAGGACAAACGCTGGAGACGTAGCGCATCGCATGCCACGCATGATGCAGCATGCGCAGAGTTCACCTGCTGGTTTCATGTTTGGTGGAATTGTTTGCATGCGCATGTTAGGTCTGGATGTCTTCTACGAGCAGGGTGCCATGGATGACATTTTGGCCCCCTTGCGGGAGAAGGTGCGGGAAGGCTCGCCACAGGCCGTGGCCTTGGCTAGTCTGTGGGTCACCACGCCAGTGCGTCATGGAGACGTGTGGCCTTGCTTGGCCGAAACGTCGAGATGTTTCTGCGCGGCAACGCCATGAGGTCTGCTTTGCACAGCAGCTGGTGTGTGAGATCGTGGCCTTTGCCGTGGTGAAGCACGGCTATCGGGCCAAGGCAGGAAGTTCAGCTGTTCGAGGTCTGCGTGCTTGGGAATCGGCCTAGCGGATGCTGGCTGTCAGAGTGAAGGCAGATCCATGCAGAGGTTTACGTCATCCGGCACGGTTTGGGACAGCAAGTTTGCAAATTGCTGTTTGTCCGGAGCTGAGGGAAACTCCATCGGCATTTTTTAGCCCGCTGGGCCACTCTTGCCAAGCCTTGAGCTACTTTAGGCGCCCCAGAAGTACTTGCAATTGGCCGCAGTGCGCGTGCTTCGCGCCATTATCGGCACGAAGGCTCGCAATGCTCGCCAAAACGTGGTGAAAGCCGTCTTGCGGGCTAGAATTGGCTAGAAGTACCGATAGGCGACAGGCAGTACCGTGGGCGAACGACCATCATCCCCCGGGAGCAGTTCAATAGCTGGGAATGGGCCATGCCTGCCCCGCACAGGATGAGGCATACCTGCGCTATGTTTCCAAGAATAACTTGCTCGCGCAGCTCCTGCAGAGCTGGGGGCTGAGCTGAGACTGCGGCTGCACAGGCATGGCGAAAGCGGGGGACATGCTGAGTAAGCATCAAAAGGGCAAAGTTTTCCTAAGAGCATTTCGTTGTCGTCTCGTTGCTGAGCCCGAGGTTTCGAGCGATGCATCATGCCTCCAGCATTGGGCCAAGTCCTCAGGGAGGCCTCAGCGGCGCATGAGGAATGTCATATGTACACAGCCTAAGACAGCCTGGGCAGGTAGAGGCCACTGACACTGGCAATCCAAACCTCAACCACCTTCTACAGCTCAAGCATTCTGTGTAGGGTCAAACAAGTGCCATTTCGGCAGGTACCAACCTGATGGCTAGTGCAACATTGGAGCTCCTAGAGTTCATCCGCTTGCACAACTTGAAGCCCTTGGCCGCGGACCAAAGTCTGGTTGTTGCCGGGGGGGGCGGTGCTCCGCGCCCAGATCAGGCGTGAGAATGAAGCGCCCTCGTAATTTGAATGCTTCACGAACAAAACCAAATGCAAAGGGATTGGCGACTGTTGCTGTTATCGTCGCAGTTTTGACTACGGCGAGCTTTCGTGGGTGCAACGTTGTCGCCCCCCAAGGTGGAGAATATTTGCAAAAACCACGCGCCAAGGGCCCAGTGCTTGTGGCTACCAGCAAGCCGAGCCGGCTTTGTATAGATTTGTTTGTAGCTTCTGTTTTTTTGTTTTTTTTTTCCTCGCTCGCTCGCTCTCTCCCTGTTCTCTTTGGTATGCATGTGATGCCTGAATCAACTTTTTGTCACGTCAAGGCACCACACGCATCCTTGCTTGTAAAGTCAGTCCGAGGCTGGTTCAAACAAAACTCATATAGCAAGCATTCTGCTTGTAGCCTTGGTGTTGGCACCCCTTTGAAATTTGTTTCCTGGGAAGGCCGACGTTGCCCCTCTTACAACAATTGTTTTGCCTTGCCAAATCTGCTTCACTGCCTGCAAGCTATCCTGCCCGACTCTTCACTCAGCTCCTTTTCTGCCACTACGTGTGCAGTCTGCTTAAACACAGGCTTATGTGACAAAGGCGCATTCTCTTGTCTACAGTATTTTTCCCACATCAGTGCTCAGTGGAATCACTCGAGTCGCCTGCATGTGGCCTTTGCCGGGTGTGACGCGCTTTCAACTGCTTGGAGCGTGTTTCAGGCTTGTAAGACTTCACGAGTGAAGATATCTCTTGGCACTGCGTGCATACAGGGCAAGATGGCCACATGCACTTCTGAATGCGGCTGTGCTGTGCTGTTAGGCCGCTCCTTCAAAGATATGCGGGCGAGCTGAAGCCTTTGGAGATGCAGCTTGGAAGAAAAATAGTTTTCAGATGGGCTGCCTGCGTGCCTGGCTGCCTAGCTGATGTGGAACACACCCACCGAAAGGCAAGTAGGCTTGGAAGCAACATTTTCTGCACCACATGATGTCACGGCCATCCATCCCCGTGACTCATACCATGCATGTGTGGGTGAAAGCATGGCTATTGTCCATGATTGGTGTGCAGGCTGATGCTGAAGTATCAGCAGAACTTGGAGAAGGAGGCTTTCCCGCCTGAGCAGCATGCAGCCGGCGGACCTTTGGACAGCTACTTGCATGCAGATTGTGTGTGTATATTGACACTCAAGTCCTCAATCACGCGGTTAGAAGGCCATCCTACAGAGTCAACTGAGGCCAAGCTGCTGCATCTGGGCGGCCTGGTCAAAGGCACGAGCTCACCCTGACTGACTGACTGACTGGCTGACTGACCTGACTGACTGACTGACTGACTGACTGACTGACTGGCTGGCTGGCTGGCTGGCTGGCTGGCTGGCTGGCTGGCTGGCTGGCTGGCTGGCTGGCTGGCTGGCTGGCTGGCTGGCTGGCTGGCTGGCTGACTGACTGACTGACTGACTGACTGACTGACTGACTGACTGACTGACTGACTGACTTTTTGTTTTCTTCTCTCTCTCTCTCTCTCTTTCCCTGCCTGTTTGTCTCTCTGTGTCGCTCTGCGTCTCTGCGTCTCTGTGTCTCTGTGTTGCTGTGTCTGGCACAGGCGTGTGCGCAGCCCTGGCCGTGATGATTCAGCTGAAGATGACAGCTACTTTGAGTCGCTGGATGATGATCCCGACGAGGCGGAAACTCGTGATTGTTGGAAGGCGCTTCCATTGCCAGTGCAATGATAATGGGGTAGTCGTGGTCTCACTAGTGCAAGGAGTTTGCGCAAAGCCAGGAGCCCTCCAACGGTCAGGAGAAGAGTCCGGCCTCTCAGTGTCAGCATGCTCAACTCAAAAGGGGTTTGGGAACGACAAAAGTGGTTGGCCCTGGGTCCGAGGCCCACCAGCCGAAGCAGGCCGGTTGCATCTTTGGAGCTTGGTGCCTCGTTTCGCCAATCGAGAGCGAGAGCGGGAGAAGGTGAGAGAGACGTGCCAATCTTGTTGAAAGGAGCGGCTGGCCTTCCGGGTCTTCTTGGTGGTTATGCGGATGAGGCGAGGCGCCTCAGAGGCATGCACGCTTGGGAATGGAGGCATCGGACTCTGAGCGAGAGAGAGGGAGAGAGACTTTTGTCGCTCCTGTCTGGGTCGGGGGGCAGTGGCCTAAGGAGAAAGACGAGGCACGATGCTGCGACTTGTTGTGCTCTTGCTCCCTTGCAAGCCTTTAGTCTATGTCTTGCGGCGGTTTTTCGCGTTCACAACCAAAGCTTGAGTGTTAAGCACAGCAGCTTGGTGTATATTTAGAGCTTGGATTGGCTTTTCATGTGCGCTGTGGCGCTGAGCCTGCCGCAGGCCAGTGAGGACGGTGAGGACCAGGCCAGCGGCTGAGCCCTGCCGAAAGCGCAGCCAGTGCAAGTCAGATCTTAGTGACTCAGTGCAACCAACCAGCATTTCCCGCCATGCTATATTATATGCACTTGACAGATTCAACCTATGCAGCAACACAGATTTGAGTTCACCCCCGGCAGTTTTTAGGGTCGGTAGCATGTTTTGCGCCTTGTTTTCGAAGCTGGTCTTCTCTTTTGGAGTTCAGCCAAATCGCAGCAACTTGGCCGGCACCGCCTGAGGCGGAGAAGCCGGCGGGCGAGGCAGTCCTACGACCGTCCAATGCTGGTTGACCTAGAGTCTTAGAGGATGTTGGATTTAGCTGGCTTGACGCCTTTCAGTTGTTCTGCTGACCTGCAGGCCTGCATCCGCAGATGCCATGCTTAAGTGTTTTTCCATGGTAGGGACAAGTTCAAGTGGCCACTTTTCTTGTGCGAAGCTCCCCCCTGTGCAGAATTCGGAGAAGTCCTTGGGCCACGTCTCCAAGCGGCCTCGCACGTGCGGTGGCCTGGATGTTGTTTTTCAGGTTGGGGATTTCTACAAGGAGCCTGCTGCGGCGGTGCGCGCTGGGTGGAGTCAAGCACAAAATGTTCCTTTATGAAAGTCAGTTTTCCAATTCCGTCGCTGTTTTCGCTGTTTGGCAATTTCTTTTGTGACCATGAGCAGCGGCTTCTCACCAAGGACGGAGCCTGAAGAGGCCTCGGAGAAGCCAAGGCAAGGTGTGGCTTAAGTTCGATCCTGATTGGCATCACTCGAGTTATCCAATGGCAATAAGTGGCAGGGCGATGGTTAAATGCATTTTATCCTCTTGTACACCACATGCACTATGTGCATGAATGGGGCTCTACTCACTCCAAGATTGAAATTGTGATTTCGTATCGCCCGGTAGGATTTTTTGCTGACCCCCAAGGCTTGGAGGGCTTGGTCAAACACTAGAGCAAGTTGAGTAGAATGTCAGACTTATTGTCAGCCTCAGGCGTCCTCTGACAGGGCATGAGGGTACTAGAGGACCCCCTTTCTAGATGCTTGCTGGATATCCCTGACACTTGCTTGTAACTCTGCACCGTGTATCGCATGTGTTTGGATTTCCTTGTGTTTGATCAGTTTCAAGGCAGGGACGGATGTAAAACAAGGAACTTGCCATTTGATTTAAAATCACGCCCGAACAACTCCGAATAAATTCAATTCCATTTCTGACCTGCTTTCGGTCGACCGGGACGGTGCTTGCCAAAAAACAAGCAGATGGGACTCATCCAGTTCAACAACGTCTTTACAAATTTGTGAGCCCTCAACTTCTTTTGTGTTTGTCATTCTTCCAACCCTCTGCGCTGGGCGTTGCTCCCTCTCGTTAAGCATAGCGTTCCAGCCCTGGGCGCCAGTCAGTGATGCCTGAGAAATGCTCGGGCCGTGGGAGCTGACCTGCGATGGCTGCGATTCGAGGCGGTAGCAACAAAGAGTCTCTGTTTGTGGAAGGCTGGCAGGTTACCCTGGTGCACCTAGCCCAAAACCGCGGCAACCCGCTGGAGCAACAGAAGCCGGCAAAGTGGAGCTTTTGTGGGCTGTCTTGATTTCTTGGTTGGATCAGAGCCGGGTGTCGCTGGATGAAGAGACCTTTTTTGCAGCCTCCAGTCATTGCAGATGGCTTCGGGCTAGAGAAGCCCATAAGCGGCTGGTGATTGCACCAGAGAGGGCCTGCCGCCTTCCGCAGCCGTGGAAAAGAGAAACTTTGTTGAGCGCCGGCCGTTGCAAGACACGCACCCTCTTACTAAGGACAGCAAGGTATCAGCGCTAGATGCTTTGGCCTTGGGACTCATCCGGCCGGGGCCATCGAGTTTCTCTTTTGACCCGGGAACCTGCGGGGGTGGAGGCAGGCAGCAGATGTGACAGTTCTTATCGAAAGAAACATGGTGGAGTTAGAGAATGGTCTGGGCAAGTGCCACAAGTTCTACTCAGGCTTTCAGTCTGTTTCTTGCGTGCCTATGAGGGAGGATTCGCAGGCTCACAGGGGCTGCATTCTTGCCCTACCCGATGGTCGACGCCTTTCTGGCCCAAACTGTTCTGTAGGCCGCGCAAAGTTCCCCCTGGAAGGAGGCGCGCCAGGTCAAACTTTGTGCCGTGATGGAACCTGTGGCAGGGATTGGGCTGAATGACCGACGTCGTGGAAGAGAAATGGCTGCCGCCAGGGCCCCGTGTATTCGTTGATAGGCTGCCTGACTGTCTGACGTGTCTATGGAGTCTGCTTCTTGTGGGCACATGGCCGAAGAAGAGTGAGTCACACAGTGCAGCATAGTGCAGTCACCCAGACGGCAAGGCTTGACTTCACTCGGATTTGCCCACAAAGGTACAGGTCAGCAAGCGTGGAACATATTCTCCGCCAAACAAGTGCCTTGCCATGGCCGATGCCATTGTGCGGCCTTCCGGACTGCCTCTTGTCTTTGCGATGTTGCGATGTTGTCTTTTCTTGATGTTACCTTTGCTGCCTTTGCCCCTGCGTTTTTTGTTTTGTTTTTGTTTTTAAGAATCCTGGAAGCTCGCGCCATTCCCAGGCGTCCTCTGTCCTGGCGTTCGGAGTTGGGCATAGTGCTGCAGGCGCTGCTTGCCATCGGCAGCGTGCCGGGTCTGCCACTGCTGCTGCTGTACTTCCTTTGGAAGGTTGGCATAGGGTCGGCTGTGGGTCTTTTCGCCGCTGGAGAAAGTTGAAGGAAGATGGCCAATTGATTTTCCAAAGTGTGGAAGGAAGGCATGAGCCAAATAGGTTCTGTGTTTGGATTTGACAAGCTCTTGGCCCAATTGAGCGCTGCCAGGCTTTGCGCTCCAAAGAGCCTGAAGAGAGTTCACAGGCATGGAAGCGCTTCCGACGCCTTCTGGCGGTGTACCTTTTCTTGATGCTGCTTGCATGCAAGCTTGGCTTGGTGGTGGTAGACTTCCCTTCTGCCAACTCATGTCGCTTCAACTGCGAGGCTTTTTCACATCCACAAGAAGTTGATCAGTTTTTCTTTGGTTCTACACTAGCTTCTTGGTGTGCGCAGGTATACAACTTGTTGATTTGTGACCTGTCGCCAAATTGAGCGGCTGAATCGGAGGTTCATCCCAACAGTTCCGCGGCCCTGGCTGATGGGTACCGCGTTCTTCAGGTGGTGGCTGGAGTATTTGTCAGTCAGCTTGGTTTATCAGGGCGGCGCGCCGCTGCCTCCGAGGCGCGATTCCACGTTTGTTGCCTTCCAGCTGGCAAAATGGGCAGCTAAAAGCAAACCAGTCAAGCTACACAGAGAAGTTGATATTTTTTGAGCATTCTTCCCAGCCCTGCCAGGCAGTACCTTTACCTCTTCATGCCGCATGGCTTGTACCCCTTCTCAGGCGCTTGTGCCTGCCTGGCCTCCATGCGCGAGGTCTTCCCCTCCTTGCGAATCGCAGCGGCGCAAGTCTCCTTCCGAGTTCCGGTGATTCGGCAGCTTATGGGATGGATCGACTGCATCCCCGCGGACCTGCCCTCCATCGGGAAGGCCCTCCAGGCAGGCGATTCTATCGGCTTGTTCCCCGGTGGCATCGCGGAGATGGTGCGCACGCAGAGCACCGAAGAGAGTTTGCTGCTGCGAGCCCGCAAAGGCTGGGTCTCTGGCCCAGTTCCGACCTCCGCCCTGGACCCTCCTTAAGAATTCAAGAGAAGCTTTAGGAACTTTAGGCCCAAGGACCCAACATGTAGCCAAAGGTTGAAGCATGCACACCTGTCACCTTCCAGGCTTTGTGCGCGTGGCAATGGAGCACAAGGTGCCCATCGTCCCGGTGTACGTCTTTGGGCAGAGCCTCCTGTGGAGCCACCTGCGCTTGCCTTTCCTGGAACGCCTGAGCCGCTGGCTCCGGGCCAGTATCATCTTGCCTTATGGACGCTGGGGCACGCTGGTGCCTCACAAGCCGCCTGACCTTGATCTCCAAGAAATGGTGTGCGTTTAGCTCTTTAAGGGCTGCTGTTCAACAGTTCAGGGCAGTCTCGGCCCGCGTACGGAGCTGCCAAAAGTGCACCCAGTTCCAACTGACCTCTGGAATCGTACATCAGAACTCCTCTGAAGGCAATTGACCTTTACCTTTGCATCTTCTGGAATCGCTACATCACCATGAGATTTTGGAACCCTTGCTCTGCGTTTTTGCCTGTATGCTCTCCCAATCTGCCCAAGACCTTTTTCCTATGGCCGATGACCCCCATGCTACCGCTGTTGCAGCGAACGCGCCCTCGCCAGGGTGCTGGCCGACCTGCCGTCTCCAGCAGCAACCGATCCTTTCTTTGTTGTCGATTGGAACAGCTTGCTGTGGATGTAACAATCCATGGAGTGAGAGGGGAGATGTGGGTGGATTCACCTTGCCTTCGGTGCTATTTTGGTTGAAGGCTGGTGAGACTTCTTTCCTGCAAGGCCCTGGTCTTAGGTGGGGATTCTGGCCTGAAGGCAAGTCCAGGATTTTGAGCGCCGACGCTAAAGCCCCTTTGGGCGGACTCTGCAAGAACAGGCGCGCAGCAGGGGAGTCCTTCACCGGCCAGCCTGCTCTCCGCTTTGTGGGCCCGTGGGCCTGACAGCGCTCTGACAACTGCCCTTGGCCGGCCTACCAAGCTGCGTGACATCGCGTTCATCTCAAGGTCCGCAGGTCGCTCAATGAAAGCCCGTAGTTTGGCTACACCACAGCGGCTCCTTGGTTTTGGCCGAAGGAAGCCAAGACCCCGGCCACGCTTTTGTTGGCCCGCAACAAGAGCCTGCCAGCCAGAGATACTCCGACTCGTCAGACGGCGGCCCGAAGCTCGGAGCAAAGGCCCGCAAGAAGGGCAAAGCCAAGTACCGCGGCGACAACAACTGCATTTTGACAAAGCGAGAGGCATCTATACACACAGCAGGAAGGGCCTTGAAATCTGCAAACTTTTTCAGAAGCAGGGAACGGGAAGCCTCAGGCCAAGTGCAAGGTCTGCCTGGGACCGCGCATTGTGGGGTCAAGGGGTTTCTCCCCACTTCTCTGACACAAGGGAATCCCCTTTTTATATGCACAAAATAGTCTTTGGGAAGCCCTTTCTGTTGTATCACAGAAGTGGTCATTCCCCACAGCCCTGCAAGGAACTGACTCAATCCCACAGCTGGACCCGACGCATCTATGTCGCCGGCCAAGATCTTCACCACAGCCAAGGTCAAGCCTGCTCTCCGCTTCCCAGGGGAGGGGCTATGAACGCTGATGCCAGCGCCAGAGGTAGGCAAAGCGGCCCGATGGCCCGCCTCGTCTTGTCGGATGACATCCGGGGCAGGCGCTCTGGGCTTCTGGGGCACTGGATGAATCCCGGCTTGGTTGCTCGAAGACCAAGAAGCCCACGCCAGATGAAGACCAAGAAGCCCACGCCAGATGACTGTTCCTTGACCAACATCGACCCGCAGCAATGGGCAGACCAGTCAAGGCCGCTCCTGCTCTTCTCAGGCAGACACCGAAAGAATGACCTCTCAAAGGGCATCTTTGATGATGCCGGTATGGCTCCACCTTGGGAAAGTATTTCACCGTTTGGGGAGAACCCAGAGCAGGCTCAACTGAAAGATGCAAACAGTCTTGTGGAGTTGACAGCCGCAGCGGCGCAAGAGCAGCCAAGCCATTTGCGCGCTTTCTGGATAGAGAACCCTGATCGCGGCGAAAAGCTGGATGTGGAATGTGTAGGCAAGGGCACTGTCCAAACATGCAACGTCATGTAACGTTCAGGCCCAAGCTCTTTTCTAGGCTGTAGATGGAGCACGCCATGGAGGGGCTGGAGCAGCTGGCCACCTTGACGGGGCGGTCGGTCGCCCTGGCATCTGCCTTGACCAGGTGCGGGTGGACGACGTCGAGGTGGCCACGCTGCAGAGCATGGATGAGGAGGTCCTCCTGGCGGCGGTCCGCCAGCTCGACGAGCTCCGCGTGGTCTCGGTCAGCGAGCTGAGGGAGCTCGTCTTGGAGGCGGACAGGTCGTGAAACGAAGCGTTGGGCCTGCCAATGCCAGAGACGAAATTGGCTGGGCGATTTTCATGCCTCCGGGTCAAACCTGCCAAGCCCTACCAACGTGGTTCTCTGGAAGACGCTCTGACTCACGCCCAAGCAAATCCGGATGATTGCGTGTCACACATTCAAAAACGAGCTAGGCCACTACTGCGCAGGGCCCGCATGCTTCAAATCTGAAAGGGCTGGCAGAAGCAGCTGGACACACCAACCCTTGCAGTCACGGGGGAGCAGGCTTTCGATCAACAGAAACTTACATAGATACGACAAAACTGCAACTCCCCTCACGCCAAGTGTGCCTCTGCCAGAGCCCAAGTACGTGATCAATCGTTTGCCTGCTTGGAAAGTTCACGTGGTTGCCTGCAGTGGGGGGCCCTCCCGCATCATCCGAGGAGTTCTTAATTCTGCAGAGAGGTGACTCGTTTTGCCAATTGTTACAAAAGTGTGCCCCACCTCGCTTGCCGCCGCGCTCTCACGTGAGGAAGGATTGTTGATTGGAACAGCTTGCTGTGGATGTAACAATCCATGGAGTGAGAGGGGAGGTGTGGGTGGGCTCACCTTGCCTTCGATGCCATTTTGGCTGAAGGCTGGTGAGACTTCTTTCCCCGCCCGCCCACACCAGGGGAGTTCTTACCTCTGCAGAGTTTGGACTTCTTCCAAAGAAGAGGGACCCTTAGCTGCAGAGGTGACTGATTTTGCAAAATGTTACAAAAGTGTGCCCCGCTTCGCTTGCCGCCGCGCTCTCATGTGAGGAAGGATTGTTACGCCTGCTGAAACGACACGTAGTCAATTGTTCAAGCTTTCCTTTGAACATTCCGCGCTGTGTTTCAGGCTTTTGTGCAGTCGTTTGCGCTTTAAGTTGTCATCTTCACTTGCGCCAGACTCGCCCTCAGCATGCGTGCCACCCTCAAGATTGCCGTTGCGGCCGACATGCATGCTCGCCCAGAACGCACATGTTTATTGATGTTCATGCCAGATGTTTATGTACCTTTCCATGCGCCTGCCTATCTAGAGAACACACACCAAAAGAAGCTGAGAATCAGCACCAAAAGCCTTCGCTTGCCAAGAGTCGTGCGCCCAATCTCGTCATCAAAGAGTTAGCCGGGAGAGTTTGGTCGCAGAAAAAATATGTCAGTGCGTTGTTTTGCAGCCCCCCTCAACATGAACAGAACAAACAGACTAAAACACTTACACACATGCCAGGGACAGTGAAGTTTTTGTTTGTTCGGGGGAAGGATGGCCTCGGGGGGGTCGGGGGGCAACTGTTTCAAGGACAGCCCTGGGCTCAATCCAACTGGCCCTCAGCGGTGTAAAGCTGGTGGGTGTTTCCATCAAGAGAATTGCTTGGACAGGTTTCAACGGTTTGTTTGACGGAGTATCCGTTTATTGTTTTGGGGGGGCCTTTTTGGAAACCCGTTTTGGATTAGCAAGTTCGACGCCCCCTGTAGAAAAGATCCTTTGCTTTGGCGCACCCAAAAGAACGACGTGCTCCATCGCCTTGAGGGACTTGGGGGCCTGTTCTTGGGGGCAGCGAGGGCCCTACAGCTGGAGTTTCTCCTTTCTACCTTTGTTTTGCAACTTTGTTTTTTTCAGCAGATTGGCTTTCACGTCATGTCGCAGCACAACCGGGGGCTGGGCCTGCCCGAATTCGTGCCACAGCCCCATCACGGTTGCCGAACGACTGAGGATGCCGCTTCTGTATGCAATTGGAGAGCCCATTGAGCCCGGCGACACTGTGGGCAGCACTCATGACGCTGTCATCTCAGCGGTGGAGAAGCTCTATGCCGCTTATAAAGGTGTTTATGGTTGGCAGGACCGTGGCCTCCAGATAGACTGACGGGCGGGCATCAGAGCGAAAGAAAATCAATCTTAGAATGCCTGACCGCGAGCTTGACTCAGGGACCGCAGTGCCCTTTCTGAAATTTATTGAAGTGTTGCTTTTCCTTTAGAATGGGTTGGCATACAAGTTGTTCCCTTTTGGGAAGCTAAGTGTGACACTGCAGAACTACCCTGAAGATCCCTGAAGAGGGGACGATGAATCTTGCAAATCCGTACTTCCCATGATTTGTGACTGGCTTATGTGCCAAATGCGAGGACGCCAGTTCCGTTTGTTTGTATTTTTCCCCTCTCCTCTCCTCCATACATGAGAACACATCCATGTCGAGTAGCCGTTAAAACTACAGCTGGATGAGGTTAGCAATCGGTGTTTCATTCATGTTGTGAAAACGCGCAAGACCATGGCAAACGATAGGCGTCTCCCAAACAATCATACGCCATGGGAGAACATATCTGATTTTGCAAGTGTTTTTTTTCCCTGTACGGGGCTGGAAACACTTCTCTCGGCAAAACGTGCCTAAAGGGATCCGCTTTGTGCTGTTTGGTCGGGGGTGAGAGGAGTGCCTACTCCCACCTCTCTGCAGACCTTGGGATGGCTGCGCGCAGACCACTGGTCATAGTAGTGTTGTCTTGGTGCCCTGCAACAGCCTACGGCTTTGGATTCGGGATACCCACAATTGTTGCGCAGCCAAGTCTTTTTTAGAACCTCGCTTGCAGCTATGCTTTGGCCGTCACACAACCACTTGCGCAGCAACTGCTGGCACAGCAACTACTTGCTCAGCGCAAAAGCTGCTTCCACAAGCTGGAGTCGCAATTTGTTTTTGCTGAGGTGCCCGCTTTTTCTCTCATCGCTATCCCGCTACCGAGATGAGCATGCCAGGCTCCTAGTACCGCGCAGTTGGCTCAGCAGATGGCCTGCCAGAAACACATCTTCAACTTTCTCATCGCTGTCGTAACTATTTGCAGGTTATTGACGTGATGAAGTGTGCGCTGCGGCGCACCCAGCCAGTGCTGGAGAGGCGGGCGATGCCATTGCTGCATACCGTTCGCGAGCCGTCCCCTTCCCTTCATCCCTCTCTTGCCACTGCGCTAGCTTTGTTAGCTTTGCGAGGCCTGGTCGATCACGACAGGTGATGGAGGCTGCGGTCCGAGAGCGAGCGAGAGAGAGAGAGAGAGAGAGCGAGAGAGAGATATAGAGAGAGAAGGGGTGGGGAGTGAGGCGTAGAGGGGGTTAAGGATGAGGGATTGAACGAACCTCTTGCGGGGCAATTTTTGCCTGAGGAAGATGCCCGATTGAATGCAGCAATATAATGTTGTTGGCAATCTGGTTCTGACGAGCAACACCCTTCAGTATGCTGCCGTGAGGGAAATAGCTGGGCGCACATTTTTTAACGTGATGTATCACTGCTCCACGAGTGCTTGTGCCAGGCCAGCAATAATCTTGCTGCTTCCCCGCGGTTATCTCAGATCGCTGCATCCCACCCGACTCAGGATGCTCATGGCACAAAATCAGGGTAGGGCAGGCAGTGCGGCGCATTTCTTGGCTCTTGTGAGTGGCCCTACACAGGCCGCAATGCCGACAGGAAACACAAGACAAAAGTTGAATGTATGGGTGGCATGCATCGCACGGCTATTGGAAAGACCAAGCGCTGCTGCATCAAACGAACATACCGTGCCTTTGGCGCAGAGGACGGAACTGCAGCACGTCAAGTGGAGTGACTAAGATGTAGCTCTAAGCCATGGCGGACGAGCTTGACATCTACTCAGACCTTTGTAGTGTTCCGAAGCAGCCCCCAGCGCGAGCGCCCGTGCTGGCACCTGCGTCGACGGTTTCTGGGGGCACAAAACATGCTCACAAGCCGGCTCCAGGGCCAAAGGCTTCCCAACAGGTGAGCGCGGCCCGGCCTGCATCAGCTGTGGAGAAGCCCGAGAAGCGACCCTTTGCCACCTCTGACCCTAGACCCGCTGTCAGGGCCAGAAACTTGGTGTGGACGCCTGCGCCGGCAGGAGGGGCAGATGACGTGCTGAAGGTGCTCAACACCGGCAACGCCGGCCATACCGGCCTAGCTCGCTCTGGCCCGGACCTCTATGGCGACCTTGCGCTGGACCCACGAAGCCGGCCTGTGGCAAGAGCAGCTGCCGCACCGGCGGCTGCACCGCCGGCTGTGGCGACATTTCCTGAAGAGAGGACGCCAGAGCGCCGGCCTAGGGCGAGGAATTTGGTATGGAAGCCTGCGCCTGCTCAGGCTGCAAAGCCTGAGGTTGTCGTGCTAGATGACGATGAGCCTGCAGAAAACCCCGCAGACAAACAAATACAACAGCAAAACCCTGAAGAGAAGCAAGTGCAGCCACATGCAGAGCAGCAAGCTCAGCAGCAAAGCTCCGCAGAGAAGCAAGCCCAGCAGCAAAGCCCTGCCAAACAAACGCAGCAGCAAGAGGCTGCTCTGCAGAAGGCCCTAGAGGAGGTGCCACAATATTTTCTTGTTGAGAGTTTGGAGTGCCGGTGCTGATGTTTGTGGATGACATTATTGCATGCTTCTTATTGCAGGAGCCGGCTCAGCAAGACCAGCCTGGCAGCCCCGTGTCAGATGCCATGATGGAGGACAGAGCATATATTGATCATCCGTGTTGGTGCAGTTTTCACCTGCGCACACGCTTGCAGCTCGGCGAGGAGGATGCCGTCATCTCGGATGACGAGGAGGAGGTGGGCTTCCATTTGGGCGAGGTCCGTGCCTCCGAAACTGGGGTCGCAGCCAGACGCGAGGGCACAGGCCTGGCCTGTGAGCGCACGTCCTTCCGACTTCCTCTTTGCATTTTCCATCAATTTTCACTGAGCCCTGCGAATGTGAAAGTGGCAGGCGCCAATAGAAGTGGGCCGCCTCTTCCGACGGTGCCCTGCGCCCAGCGGGCGCCTGATTGCTTCATGCTCGTGGCGGGGGTGCCTGCCTGGCTGACGGACGCCGAGCTGCGGAAGCACTCTGGGCAGTTCGGCCAGGTGCGAAATTTGCGCATCATGGTTGACCTGAGCACCGGGAAATCTGCCGGCGTGGTGCTGGTGGAGTATACGGAGCCAGAGGCTGTGAAGAAGGCGACGCGGGTTGACGGCATTTGCCGCCTGCGGATCCTCCAAGGCTTCGGGATCGTGCCTCGCGCGATGCAGGTTGGCGCCTTGTCTGCCAGCAAGCTTGTCACACACACACACACACACACACACTACTTGTCCTGGGCCCAGTAAAGAAGTGGGGATGATTTGTTGGCAGATTAAACGAGGCAAGCGAAGCAGAGCGACCTTGAATCAGGCCTGCCCGCCCTAACCAACCCTGGAAAGCCTTGGAAAGCCTCGGAAAGTCATAGTCTGAGCCTGAACGTACCCCAATTAATGGAACCCACCCACCTTAAACCCCAACCCACCCCAAGGCCCACCTTAACTGAAGCCCATCTTCATTCCAAATTAATCCCATGCCAACTTGAAACCAAACCAACGAACTAGGCCTGCTGACTTATCAGATGCCCCAGCAGAAACAAAGCAGAGAACCAGAAACTAAGCCCGCCCTAAATCATCTCGAACTCATGCTTGAACAAGTCAGCACAATGGCAGCACCTACCCGAACCATTTTTTTCAATGCTTGAAGCTGGACAGGGCCCGAGCTCCACGGCAAACTCTGCGAGGGCACAGTGCCCTGGCCGGACGGCGGTTCCTGCAGTGATGAGCTGCGGGGCTTACTGCTGGAGAAGACGCTTGGATACAAGCTGTGCTTGGACAGCTGGCTGAACATCGTTTTTATGTCATGGGCTAGCTGGTGCCAAGAGGTTGTAAACAGGTTTTTTAAACACACTTGCCAAACACTGTACGAGTGACTTTTGAAGAGTGCGCGAGTGGAGTGTGCGAGTAGGCATGCGAGTGTGCGAGTGAAACGGGCGAGCGAGCGGACGAGTGGATGAGTCGGTCGAACACTCGCGCGCCCTACTCGCACACTTTTGGCTCGCGCAGAAATAAGATCTTTTTTTAGACATTATTTTTGACCTGCAATCGAAAGTAGTATTCGCAACTGCAAATAACGTCTAAAAAGAAGACCTTATTTCCGTGCGAGTGAAAGTGTGCCAGTAGGGCATGCGAGTGTTCGAGTCCCTCGTCCACTCGTCCGCTCGCACACTCGCACAGTCCAGTGGCACACTCACACGCACTACTCGCACGCTGGCACGCAGGGTACTCGGAGGGTACTCGCGCAGGAACCATCATAATTTCATTTTACTTGGATTCAGTTGAGTCATGGGGCACCTTTTAGGCAAGGAGCCCCATGCGACTGTTAGGTTTGGAATGCGAACTCGCCCAAAGCGGCCGGCGCCACCTCCCAAGCGGCCGCAGTCCGAGGAGCTCTCAGGATGGCTCTCGTGTGGCGCTTGATGTGCCTGCCAGGATGTCGATTGGCATCAAAAGCTGAAGAAGCTGAAGAGTGGCCTGCCTGCATTTCGAGCCAAGGGCCTGATGTGTGCTACTTAGCTGAGGTGTGGTTCGGCCGGCCTCGCCGCCAAAGATGCCGCAGGCGCTGTTCTTTTTTTGAGTCGCCCCGTCCCCAAGAACGGATTAGCTTCTTGCCAACAATTGTTGATTAATGGAGAACCAGGTTAATGCCTTTGCATAAAGAGCAAGGACAAAGGACGAGGTTGCTCTCAGAGGAAGGTTCAGCTGCGGTTTGCCGAAGCCCAGAGGCTGGCAAGGCATTTGCCACTGCTCAGGCACAGGCGCCCGCACCGCAAGGAGGCTGGGCGGACAAGCTCAAGAATCTCAAGGGCATCTCGCTTGCACATTCCTGGCAGTTGGCAGCGACAGGGTTCCGGCATGTCACGGCAAGGTGGCCTGGCATCATGAGGAGTTGCAGTCTTCAACAAAATCGGGATACTCCCGTCTTCTTTTTGTCCAATATGGCCATGCTGTGACCCTCACACCGATGCTCATATTTCTTGGTGGGCCGGCACCTTTGACTTTACCACACGTCAACCTTCAGAGACGACTGCTCTCAAGAAGCCACTCGTTTGTTAGACTATCGGCAGTGCAAAGTAGCTTGCTCATGCCTACATCGCTAGCATCACCAGAGTCTACAATTTGGTCCGGACAAGATCGACAAAAACAAGGGATCAAGTGACCCTCAAGTCTTAGGATCGTGGGCAAGCTTGTGAGCATGGAGCTCGGGCTCTTGTCCGTGTGGGGAAAGCAAGTGGATTGTATGTGCTTCTTCTGAGGGTGACGGGTTGAATCAGGCTGAAAGAGCACTGCTGCTTTGTTTGTTGCAAGACCCTCGTACCAACACTGAACAGATTGCCAAATGAGTGTGTAGGTGGGTGCAAGTGTGAGAGTGTGAGGGTGGGCGTAAGCGTGAGCGCGAGTGCGTTGGGGTGGGCTTAGGCGTGAGCTCGTGAGCTTGTGCGTGTGGGTTTGCGTGTGGGTGTGCGCGCGCGCGCGCGCGTGTGTGTGTGTGTGTGTGTGTGTGTGTGTGTGTGTGTGTGTGTGTGTGTGTGTGTGTGTGTGTGTGTGTGTGTGTGTGTGTGTGTGTGTGTGTGTGTGTGTGTGTGTGTGTGTGTGTGTGTGTGTGTGTGTGTGTGTGTGTGTGTGTGTGTGTGTGTGTGTGTGTGTGTGTGTGTTCGGGTGCTGGTGTGGGTGCACGTCTGTGCAGGTGGGTGTGCCCGGTGTGAGTGACGCTGTGGCTGCGAGCGTGAGTTTGAGCGTGTTTGTCTTTCCTTAAACTCATGCCTTTGAGGGGCAGAGGTTGCATGCTGTGATCCGAGGATCTGTTAATTCACGACGCGACAGGGCATAAGCTGAGGGCTGAGGCTTCAGGATGGAGATGCATATCCGTTTCACAGAACAGGTTGCAGAGCAATGATGCAGGGAGACGTAGCGACAGCTCCGGGCAGTGGATCGGAACCTGCATGCCAAGCAATCTGTGGAAAGTGGCCTGCAAGCTGCTGCTTTGCTTGGAGGGCTGTGCAGGGGCAATCGCCGGGCATGTCCGTCTTCCTGGCGAGGTACAGTATGCGGTGTATACATGAGCCAGAGCCACAGTTTGCGCGTGACCAGGTCATTTGGTGCAAGTGATAAAACAGCCCTCTGCTTTGGAGCAATGAATTCCTCCTCTCCACCCAAGCTTGAGCGTAGGTTTTATCGTGTTGGGATGAATGGGCTATGCATGCACACGACGGCATGGCCAACATGCTTATGTGCCCTTGTCTGAGCTTGGGCGTCGTGTACACCAGCGAGGGTCAGTGGGAGAAGGCCGGGATTCGGCCACATCACTTACTTGCCAGTCTGCGTATGCATGGACGCTGTGTGTTCCAGAGGCTGCAGTGTGGTTGGCGCTTCAGGAAACTCATGACGCACGAACCGACGGTGATTCAGCTTCTGTTTCGAAGACCTGGACTTCGGATGCTTTGCAAGAAACAGCATTATGGAATGCGTCTGTGGTTTACTACAGGTGTTGCCTAGTAGGCTGCCATGACAATGCCATGCTTTTTGGCCTTTAGCGGCAGCAGTGGAGGATAGGAGAACCATCAATTAAAGCGAGGAATCATGCCATTCCCAATTTGTCAGACGCCAGGCTGCCAACGTGATGCTTCGAGGCGGGAAGCAATCATCGATTGCACGCCCCATTTGGAGAGCTTTTCATGTGCGCGCATGATTAATTGGTCTTGTGACCCCAGCACAGCTCTGTCATTCGGTTGCAAGCAGGATGGAAGCGCGCCGACGAGATTGAGGACTTGCCAACTTTTGGCCAAGTGGTCAGGTGCACATTGTGGAATGTGGTATTGATAGCACGCCATGCTCCCAGCCTCCCTTCCCAATCGTCGCCCTTCTGGCGAACCTCCATCTAGAGTTCCAATCCTCATGTTACTCAAATCCAACAGCCACCTAAAGACAAATCCTTTGTGCGTCCTTCTGGGAAGCCGCCCTTGCCTTTCAACAGCTCAAACAATCAAGGTTGCCCTTTCCCAAGCCGCAGGCAGGCAAGAAACCACCCAAGAGAGTTGACACAGAACAGCTTGCACCACCTGGCCCCCAGGAAATCCCGCCCATTTACCAGCATAAGCCGATGCGTAGGCCAAAGCTGCCCATGCCCCATGTCAACGTTAACACATGTTTTGCTCCATGTTTGAGACCTCCTGAGCATTTGCAGCAAAGCTGGTTTAAGCATTGTGTGTATCAAGGATGAGCATGTTCGCTTCCGCTTCCTGATGAAGCTGCCTGCAGCTCAGAAGGGGGATTCCCGACGGTGGTTTGCGGGTGAACGTGCGAGGGCCTCTGGATAAATAGATAGTGCGACAATCAGATGCAGCAGCCGCGACCGAGATGAAACTACAAGCCCGCAAACAGCTAGCAGACTGAGGACGACAGGATTCACTCAGGGTGCTGACATTTTGCATCAGAACCTCATACGGACAGCAAGAAATGTGTTGATGCATCTCTTGCCATATGATCCTGCTGCAGTGAGGTGTGAAACTTCTTTCAGAATAGGGAAGCCGCTGCAGGCCCTGGCCGTATGTTGCTGCTCGTGGTTTGAGCCTAACCGGCTTTCAGGCCTTTTGTCAGGATCGTCTTGAAGTGAAGTCTCACCTGCAAGGTGGAGACAATTGTGCCTTGACATGCTTCACGCCATTCGTGACCTGGCCCAGCATGTTGCCAGGCCTTCGCAGTCCTGAAAAGCAGGGACCTTTGTGTGTCGTTTTGGGAGTATCCTGCGTGAAGAGATACGTTTGCGCTCGCCATGGTGCATTGTTGTGACTGCCGTCGTTTTGCAAACATTGTCGCTGAAAAGAACAGGGTTCTCCCCCAGACTTGGCAGACAGTTCTGAAGTGTGAAATGCCTGTAGAGGCTTGATAGGGCGACTCGGGAAGAACCCTATGCAAAGCCACAAGTCTTCGGCCCTCGCTTTGGGCCTTATGTGTGGAAGGCATCGATCCTCCAGCAAGCAAGGAGGACATGCCGGCATTCCAAGTAATGTGAGGTCCCCAGCCTGTGCTGTGCCCAGGGACAAATCCCGAGGCACAAGCGACCTTTGATGCAGTGCAGCGCATCTCATTTTTCATGAGTGTGGCGCTGAGGTCTGTTCAGGCGGGAGCCTTTCCTTGTCTGCCAGGGGCATGTGCAGCCTGTTGCCCTTCCCAACATTTTGCTCGGAGTCCGTGTCTTTGCGCACGTCTACCTGCAGGACTGTGTGCTGCTAAGCTCGGTTAACCAGGGTCGGACCAGGACGGAGCAAATGTCCAAAACCGGCCAAAGCCACCTTTTCTTCATGGGTTTGCCAAGCTTCGGCCTCCTTCTGTTTTTTGGCCTGAGGCAGGCTGGTCATCTGGGGTGGTGCCAGGTGTTCTGTGCAGTGGGCGACGTCCAGAAGGCAGCATGGGCTGGGATGCTCTTGTCGCATTGCCTGTTTTTCCGTCGTTGCTGTTGACTATGGTTTGGAGACGAGACGAGGTGCTGGAAAGATGGTTCCATCTTAATTGATGAATGACTTGCTCAATTTAAGGACAGCTGGAGAACTTGCGCCCCAAGTTTCACAAGACTCCAAACTTATCTCACTCTTGCCCAGCGAGCCATTTCAAAAGCAGCATCTCTGCATGGAGGTATGACATATCACGAAAAAACAGAAACAACTCCAGCCACATTGCAACATTGAATCATTCACGGCAGGCTATGCCCGTGATGGTGCATTGTCCGTTTGATGGCTGCCTTCTGGCACTCGTTGTGTCAGGCTAAGGCCAACTGGCATGGCACCGCAGACGTTGCCCTTGCACGCGAGGGATGTCCACGTTCTGGGCGCGGGGCCCGGTTTGCGCGTCTACTCTTTGGCTGGCGAGCTTGAGCTTCTGGAGAGATGAGCGTGACCTCCGATTCGGACCTCGTCCTCGAGCTCAGCGCCAAGCATCGCCGTATCGGCTGCTGGTGCGCGCCACGCAGACGGACCACGTTGACACGGATCCGACGCTGAAGGTGGAGCTGCGCTGAGGTCAGACCGGGGCGTATCGTGTCAGTGCGACGCGCGGGGCCCACGTGCCTCGCGGTGTCCTTTGAGCCGGGCCGGCTTTGGGAGCAGCCGGACGGCCTGGACGTGCGTGTTTGGAACAAGGTCTGTTTCTCCGGGCAGCCGCGTTTCTCAACTTACAAAGAGATCGACACGGACGGGGAGAGGATGGCTGTGTTTGATATCGCAGAAGGCACAATCTCCGCGTTTCATGAGCTGCTCATGCACTACAGCGGTCACCTTTCTATCCTGCTTGGCACTACAGTAGTTGATTTTGCTGGCTTGTAAGGCAGGCATGATGTCGGATCCTTGTGTCGGATCCTTGTGGCTGGGGAAGGCGGCTTTGTTGGCAGGGACTTGTTTTGCCATTCGCACCATCATTCTTCCACCGCCTTCACGACTGCTATCTTCCACCTTTGAGCCGGGTCGTACTGGTGGCTGGTTGCCCAAGACAGAAATCATAGGATGAGCTGTCCAGACCAGAATGCATGGCTACAGAACCAAAAGCAACAGCAAATGAACAAACCAACTTGTTAGACACCCTGCGAAAGTACATCCCTGATCCCCTTCGTCTAATTACTCTACGTCCATGTTTCCAAATGGCGGTGTCAGAGGCCTGCAGCCTCACATTGCTGCGGTGGCGTGTCCGTAAGGCCCACGATCCTCTCGCCGTTCAGCACCCTGGTTTTGAGGCGCACCGAGCCTGGGCCGAGTTGCAGTCTGCAGTGTCCCTGCTCTGCCTGATGATTAGTTGACGCAGACCCACGCGCTCAGCTGAAACTCTATTCACTTAACTGCTCGCTTGCAGTTGGGTTTCATCACTGTGTGCATCAGTTTGCTTTGATTGTCCACTGGCTCTTTGATTGCCTCAGCATCGCTTCAGGCATTTCGACAGTTGTGCTGGCGATGCTGTCGCAATATTATTTGGAAGCTGCTCTTTTGGCAACGACATTGTGGCTGCCCGGCTTTGTGTGGGTATGGCGGTGCCACCGCTATTGGTTTGGCAGGAAGTGTGCTGGTCCAGACGTCATACTTATTCCTCCTCTCTGCTTGTTTGGGTGGTGCTGTGGGATAGCTTGGCTTTGGGCCCCTGTTGGTTTGATCGCTTCAGTCTTTGTCTTCGTGGCCTTCCACACTTATTGTTTGCTTCGGCTCCTCATGCAAGTGGCAGACGTACGCTGCGGAAAACAGGTACCATTCCCAATTAGGAGACAGGCGTTCGCCTTGTATGAGCTCTACATGCGTGACACGCGGATCTGGGGCGACAGCCTCAGGTTGGGGTTGTGCCTCGTCCTGGTTTTTGGCCCTGCCGGGCTGAAGTGTTTGCAAGTCACCAGCCCTTTGGGCTTGGCGGCCGTGGCGAGCGCAGTGCTGGCCCTGGCGTCGTCTTGCGTCCCCTACCGGGGGCGCCTGGCATCGGAGGCCTTGATCTTTGAAGATATCATGGAATTGGATGAGTCCCGATTCATAGGTCAGCATTGGCGCATCTCAATTCCAGCAGTCTAGAAGCAAGGTTGCATTGACCTGGTACTGTGACCTTTACAAAACTCCGAGCTCCCCCTTGCGGGCGAGTCAGGGACCTGCGTGCATCAAAAAGGCTGCAAGCCGCCAGCCTCACAGCACCAGCCTTGATAGAAAGGAGTTGCCATACCCGTGGCATGTTGTATTGCAATGTGCAGGTTCCAATCTTTTCTGGGGCTTCCAGGCGCTGTCAACTTTCAGGAAAGCCATCGAGAACCAGGCACGGGCACACCACTACTGCTATGGCAGTTGAATTGCTTTGGCCTGAAAGCCCCACATAGGTGCATGACTTGACTTGTGCCTGTTTGCTTCGTTGAGTGGCTGCCCTGCATTTGCCACACCTAGCTAGGACTACCGCAACGCTTTGACCATGCTTGCCCTGGTCGCAGATGACCTGCGTGCTGCCAGCGGGCCTGGTCTCGGGAACTTGACCAGCATTGCACTGGCGTTTGATCTTCTGGAGTTGTGCCCGAGGCAAGAGCTTTCCATGCTGTACGCGATGCTGTGAAAGCGAAATGCACCAGGGAGGAGCGTGCAGAGTGTCTGCATCAGTGCGCCCGAATGGGAGAGGCGGCGAGAAACACAATGAAACGGCACTGAGCATGGTCAGATCACAGGCACAAGATACTGTCCCACTGACTGTCGTACGACGGCTTAGTGTTAAACGGATGGCCACATCGACAATTGGACGAAGATGGTGTTGCTTGCATTGAGCCAGGATGGAGAACTCGGCATCATTGAGCACTATGTTTCGGTGAAGGAGCGTCATTCGGGAAGCAGGCAACATTTTGATGGTTGAAGCCAATTCGTCAGCTTGCAGAAACTTCTTGGTGTCTCTGCAAGAGACCCGCTGTCATTCACGTTGCACTTTGCACTTGGGTTGTGCTTCTTGCAGTTTGACCCCGCAGAGTCGTGCCGCACTCATACAGAAGGTGTCTTACGGCCATTTGCCTTGAAGGATTCTTCCAAAGGAGTTTGCAAGACAAGCGCTGTGTGGCACGCAGCCGTCATCCACAGTAAACGCGCCGGCATGCCGGAAATGGCGAACCCTTGCAGTGTCTCCGCTCCCCGGTGGCAAGTTCAGTCTTCCCCATAGGCGCCTAGGCCTAGCATGCACTTAGCCACTGGGCTTCCTGCAATTGGCCACCTGCGCAGCTCCCAGCCGGCCACAAACAGCCGTGTTCATTTTTGCTCAGGCAGCGGTGCGGCTGCGCCCCAGCAGAGGAGCTGCAGCGTGGGATGTGGCACCTGGGTGCCTGACCGACCGCAGGCAAGGACTTGTAATAAAAGGGAAGCTCTGCCGCAGTTTCCAAAAACTTCAGACTGACACTTGGAGCCCTGAACCCTCCAGACGTTCTTGCATTCACGGATCAGCACTCCTTTCTCTCAGGACACAGCGTGTTGAGTTGCTTGCCACTGAAGGTCTGGGGAGCGCTGGCACTTCGATCAAGTCTTCGGGCCAGCCGCAGGCACACAGGAGCTCTACGAGCGATCCGCGGCTTGGCCCAGGAGCAGAACATATTTGTCGTTTACTTCTGCTTGCATGCCTTGCACGCAAGCTCAGACGGAGTTGCCCGAGGTGCACCAAGTTGTCGCGGCATTCGGCCGGGGTGCGACTTGCACGGTCTTCGCTTGTGGTCATCGCGTGCCTTGTCTATTTGAGTTGAGGATCAACTTTGGTGGAATGCATATTGCCAATCAAATTGGATGTATTTGCATGAAATCGTGGCATCGATGAAGGGACCGTCAGGCAGTTTGAGCATCGCTCACATTGTGTCTCGCCATTGATGCCTTTGTGATTCCGTGTCTTTTTGCACAAGCGAGACTCCTTCCCCAGCAGCTATGTTTGTTTTGCATCTTCCTTCGCCTGGAGACTGGAGACGAAGATGCGAGTCATAACATGTGGCACTTTGGTCCAGAATTTCTTTGCCTGACTTGCAATGGCTTGGTTTCGGCTTGTGGTTGGCGCGCAGGCATCTGGGAAGACCTATACTATGCAGGCCTTGGTGGGCAATGTGGTGCCACCTAGGAGGGGAAAATACCTTGTCCAAAAGGCATGGGCTTGCTACCATTGTTTTCTTTGGGGCGCTTTTAGATACATGTTTAACATATCGCCCCAAAATGGAAAGAGCGGCTGCAGGGCGACGGCCGCGCCCCGGGCATCACGCAGCTTGCGGCGGCGCAGCTTTGGGAGGCACTGCCGCACCGACGGCCCCGAGGCCAACTTAAGTCGCCAGATCGCTTGGGGTCGCCAGTCGCCAGATCGCTGTTCAGCTTGGTGCAGTGCTGTGCAGTGCTTGTTGAGCTTGCATGGTTGCAGGGCACAGGTGTGTGAGGCACGGGAGCCGCCAATGCGTTCAAGGTCCGGGAAATCCATCAGTCCATTTTCTTGCAAGCTCACGAGGAGGGCTCCAGCTGCTGCTCCCTTAAACAAGGCAGTAGAACAGGGGCTTTGCTGTTGTTTTTGCATCTCGACTCGGCTTTGAAATTGGGCAAAGGGGGGCAGCATCGGCTGCTCAATCAGGATGCGGGCAGTACCGTGAATGGACGCACCTGCAATTGTGCCAGATGTGGCTACAGCTAGAAACATTTGTCTTTTCCTGTTTCCTGACCTTGTGGTTTAATGCAACTTGGGCAGGCTCCGGACAGCTGTCCAGCTTCAGTTGTGCTTGCTTATATGTGAGACGCAAGATAGTCAAATTGTTGTCTGGGACGGCTACTATTCAAGGATTCTGCACAGTGTTGCGTAGAAAGGTTGTGGCAAAGAAGGAAGGCAAGCAAGCAAGGGAAGTGAGGGAGAGAGCTTCAAGTTGCAACGCAGTTTGCTCTGGCAAGGTATGTTCTGCAGGCATCCTACTTTGAGCTGCAGAGCTGCAAGAGCGCTCAACGGTGTGCAACGGTGTGCACGGATTCTTTCACCCGCCATTATTGTTTATTTTTAGAAGATAGAATTGGACTGAGGGTTGTGTTTCTAGAGTCATCACTTCCCCAACCAATATATAAGTATAGCAAGTTGAACATATAGATAGATGTAAGAAACGACAATGAAAGAACAAGAAACAGATGACAGGAGAAATAGACTCGTCCAACCATAGAAATCTTCTAGCGGTTAATGTTGGAGTGCCAGTATGAGCCAGGGCTTCAGTTGTGCCAAGGTGAGAAAAACAGGCGAGCTAGATTGTAAAGATTTGGATTTGTCCCAGGCCCTGTGGGCCAGGTTTCCTGGCGCAGGAGGCGTTCACTTTGGGAAGGCTCAATGTTGCAAGTAACAAGGAGTATGCCCATGCAGCATAACAAATGGTTTCCCAGGACCGAAGTACTGTTGCCACAGTTTGTTTTGGGTGCACTTGCGTGGGTGTGACAGAGCCCACAAAAGAGAGCGCGCGCGGGCGTGGCTTCGTGTGTGAGTGGGTGGGTGGGGGGGGGGCGGGCGGGTGTGTGTGTGTGTGTGTGTGTGTGTGTCTGTGTGTCTGTGTGTGTCTGTGTGTGTCTTTGTGTGTGTGTTTGTGTGTGTCTGTGTGTGTCTGTGTGTGTCTGTCTGTGTGTGTGTGTGTGTGTGTGTCTGTGTGTGTCTGTGTGTGTCTGTGTGTGGGTGTGTGTGTGTGTGTGTCTGTGTGTGTGTCTGTGTGTGTCTGTGTGTGTGTGTGGGTGTGTGTGTGTGTGTGTGTGTGTCTGTGTGTGTCTGTGTGTGTGTGGGTGTGTGTGTGTGTGTGTGTCTGTGTGTGTCTGTGTGTGTCTGTGTGTGTGTGTGTCTGTGTGTGTCTGTGTCTGTTGTCTGTGTGTAGGAGTGTGGCGTGTGTGCGCGTGCGTGCGCGTGCGTGCGTGCGTGCGTGCGTGCGTGCGTGCGTGCGTGCGTGCGTGCGTGCGTGCGTGCGTGCGTGCGTGTGCGTGCGTGCGTGCGTGCGTGCGTGCGTGCGTGCGTGCGTGCGTGCGTGCGTGCGTGCGTGCGTGCGTGCGTGCGTGCGTGCGTGCGTGCGTGCGTGCGTGCGTGCGTGCGTGGGTGGGTGGGTGTGTGTGTGTGTGTGTGTGTGTGTGTGTGTGCGTGCGTGCGCGCGCGTGTGTGTGTGTGTGTGTGAGCTTGTCGGGTCAGGATTGGCGAGCGGGTGCGGGACCTGCTTGCAGCTGGCACGGAGCTGCGGAGCGACAACGCGTGGCAGGCAGGCACTTGCCCCCCAGACCTCTCGCGACCGCACCGGGGATGATGGCACAAACAATGTTTGTTGGCTTGGGGCCCAGATAAGCAACATGCCGCAACTGTTGAACGAGCTGATGTGATCATATGATGAACCACAGGACCTCACGCGACGCACCATCCGAGCGGGGTCAGAAGATTTCCTGGCATGCCTGCTGGAGGGCAGCTTGGCCAAGTTAGCTTGTTGCAAGGTTCTGCTGAGCACTGCGCTGCAATGTAAACTTGTACGCCAATAGCCTAGTTGGATGCAGTAAACGCTTGGACCTCACCTTTTGGTGATCAACCTGCTTGAAAGGCAACCGCTTTCGCAGCCCAGCTGATGATCGAGGTGGCTCAAGGCCGTGTGCTGCAGGGCTGTGGCCCAACATGAAAATGAATATGAGTTAATGATAGTTTATCTCTAGGCGAAGGGCGGAAGGTTGTGCAGAAACAAGTTGCCAGCACTTGCATGTTCGAATGGCACGAGTATGTTTGGTTTTTAGTGGTGCGTGCTGTGGTGCTGCGCAGCGTGATGTTTGCAGAAGTACTTGCGTGCACGGAGCAATTTGGAATTTGGGCCAATCTTATGTCATTGCTGCCCCGATTTGGTCCATACATGCCGGTTATATATGCTTTTTCTCGCCTCCGACTTGAATTTCCGGAAGCCGGAGCAAGTTGGCCTGCCTTGGCCCTGAAATGTGCAGCTGTGCAGGCTATGCAGCCATGCCCGTGTTTGACCTCAACTTTTGTCGGTTGCCTGGCGCAGGTCGCATACCGTTTTCCTGATCAGGATGGAGCCCAGGCCGGTACATTGCAGGCCTTGCCTACAAGTCTGTTCTCATGTTTTGCCAGGCGTGGTGAGACGGAGGGCCCAATGCTCAGCCTGGTGGACTTGGCGGGTTGGGACGGGGAGGCGCGAACACTTTAGCACCTTCGATCGTGCTGGAGTTTGTTTTTCGCTCATGGGATTCTTGACCCGCTTTCCCTGAGACAGGACGGGCGGCCTGGCACTGCCAGCCGTTCCTTGGCAGTGGTCAGAGGTTAGAACCGGTGCTGTGGGTGTGTTGACCGAACACTTACAGTGCAGCTCGCTGCTCCCAACTTTGATGAACCTGCAGCGCCATGGCTTCCATTGAGGCTCCCTTCTGGCGCTCTCCCGCATGCTGCGCAGCTTGGACTCCCCTGCTGAGTTGGTGTCAGCTTCCAGGGCAGAGCCTTTGACACGGCTGCTGCGCAGCCCATTGGAGGTCTCCATGCATGTGGCCTTGGCCTCAGAAGGGCTCAGTGAGGGCTGGGCTTCTTGCATCGAGCAAGCAAGTTGACACAAACGACCATGCAGCCGGCAGAGATAGCTGCCATACTTTGGACTCACTGAGTTGGCGTTTGGCCGAGTTGCCTACTAAGCTGCCTCGCAGAGCTTCGGCTCGAAAGACCAATTTTTGACCTCCCCCTTTCGTGGGGAAGAGGCAATTTTACGATGCCGCTCCCCGAGCTGATCGAGATAGTTCCTTTTTCGGCAGAGCAGCTGCGAAGTTTTCGATGGAAGAAGGCCGAGATTATGGTGCCAGGTTCAAAGAGTAGCTTGAATGCGATGAAGTTCTCGCAGAACTGTACGGATTAGTCAGGTAACCTCTACAGTCAAGACATTCATACGATTCATCTCGTAATCATGTAGATCAGAATTGGTTTAGCCGAGGTATCACAAATCGGGCAGCTTGGCATTTGTTGAGCATAATGCTCTTCATGTTGGTTGAGGTTTGGTTTGGACGGGCTTACTTTTGCCTTTGTTTGTATTAGTGCAATACTTTCTTGCAGGCAACTGCACCAAATTCTAATTTGCCTTAATTGCTGGCAAGCACCATGCCAGGCAATTGTACTGGCCGCACTTGGCAAAGGAGAAGTGGTCCTAAAAGGATCGCTTTGGAGTGAGGACACCGAGGCCATGGTGGATTGCATGAAGCGCTCCTTGAGACCGAACTTAGCAAACCAGCGGTTTGCTTGTGCTTTCCTGGTGGCATCCCCTATAAGTCAGCTTGAGGCAACACCAAGCCAGCAATTGCTAGGCTCGACTTTGGTGTGTTTAAGCAATGTCAAGCTTCCAGGGACCCCGCAGTCTCCACTGAGGTTTGGGCATCAAAGTGGACGTGGCACCTGACCCGGTACTGGATGCGAATCGCACAATCACCATACAAGGACTGAAAACACATGCATCAGCGCCGAGCTCAAGGTTGAGGGAATGCGGGCTGAATGGGGCAACTGTAAACGCTTCGCGTTGCCCGCCTTGGCCAGTCCGCTTTTGGCTGGCTTTGAGGTATATACCGTTTTTTTGGTTTGCCTTGAAGTCTTGTGTTTATTAGAGTGAGTGAGGCGGCGCCGGAATGCGTGAGCTGGTTCCAAGGTAGACGGCGGGTGCATGCCCGCGTGTTTCCACATGGGGCGGTCCTGTTCTGGGGGCCGGTCGATTTCCAGGGAGATTCAGACAAGACATTCACTAACAGAATCATTGTTGAGCGTAGGATTGAAAGGGCCTCGGCGCACTTGCGGAGGCCAATGGCAATGAACAGCCATCGCATTTGCAGCTTTGCGTGTTCAGCACTCTCCCTCTCTCAAGTTGGCTTGGTATTTCAGGCTCTCGGGCTCGCCTCACCTTTTGGCAAGCCAAGGTGTTTCGGGAGTTTGCGCGCCCACCATGTCATGTCAGTGTCAGGCCCAGTCAAAAGTTGAGACCAGAACCGTGGAAAGGCTTTTCATGCAGAAAGTTCATGACAGCTAGCATTGTACTCCCGCAGTGATGTACCTTAGCACGCGGGGCACTGGAACTCCTGTGTTCTGCTTCAAGACGAGCTGGCTCATTCAAACGTGATAAACCTTGTGATGCCATCAGGGTGGTGGCCAAGGAGGGCTGGGTTGCATGCTTGCCAGGATGTGATGGGAAAATCCCTCCTGGGGGCACAGAGCAAGCTCCTATAGAGCTTTTCGTTGCCAACGCGGGCACGGCGGCACGATTTCTGTCTGCGATGGTTTGCTTGGGCAGCGGCGTTTATCGCCTCAGTGGCGTGCCTCGCATGCATGAGAGGCCACAAAAAGTGCCTCGGCGGCAGATGCTGGTTTCATTGCAGTGTCTCCTCAGTGATGTCAGGGCTTCCGCTCTTGCATCTAGCCCTACAAACGCCCCAAAGTCTACCACATGGTTTGAGTTTCACAGCGACGCGCGTACCGACCGATTCTCGCTCTCAAGGAGTTGATTGAAGCCTTGCGTGCGCTGGGCTATCGAGTAGATACGCCGAACAACAAGCTGCCAGCCCTATTCTTTGGCAAGGGGCCTCTCCATGGCGCCGTCACGGTTAGTGTGCAGGCTTGCCCGTTTGACATGCAAATGCTGTGTGGGCAGCTTGCGCATTTTGCTATTTGTTGTGTGCCTTTGCGTAGGACAGTTCCCAGTTTGCCAGCGCGCTGTTGCTGTCCAGCAGGGCAGGGGGCTGGGATGTCTCTGTCCCGCCCGATGCGAACCCGGATGAGCTGCCCTATGTGGAGCCCAGGCTTCAGACAAGCGGTGACTTGTGGTGGGTTAGCCTGCAATGCAACCCTCAGTGAGCCAAGGAAATGACGAGGGAGCTCCTCAAGTCGTTTCCGCACGAAGGAGGAGCAATCGGATAGGCGATTGCTCAGGTATGGCTGCGGTGCGGGTTGAAGGCCACATTCGGCTGCCCACGAAACGCCAGGAGACTTCCAAATTGAAGCTGATGCCTCGAGTGCCAGCTACTTCCATGCAGTGACGCTTGGCAAGCAGCTTGCAAATGAAGGCTTATTCGAATAAATTTTCGAATACTCTTCCCATAGATTCCCCAGATCCTGTGAGCCACAGGCAGTTGCTGAGCTGAGGAATGCTTTGTTTGGCAAGATCCAGCCAGTGCGGGTGCTGGCTTGCCAGGCTCCCAAATGTGACGGTGGCACCGGCTGGCAAATAGATGCTGAGTTTCCCAGGCGGCTTGGGGCATTTCGTTCAGCTAAGGCAGAGCCTTCCATTTGCCAGCTTTCTTTTTGTTTGGCCAACGGACAAGGCCTAGACATGAAACAGCTCAGGAGAGAAAGGTGTTTCGTTTATCTTTCTCAATTGCATGCAGCTAAAGGCATGCAAAGCAAAATGGTCCCGCCCAACGTAAAGGTAAGATACTTGACGGCTGCTTGCATCAGTGAATCGCAAACGTCGAAGATGTTGTCTGCAAGGGCCTTGCAGTGGTAAGTGTGAGCCGGGCGCCTGGGCACTGTTTGCACGCCGCTGCATTTTGTGCACTCCCTAGGCGTTTTACCATGCCAATAAACATCTTCAGGGAAGCAATATATATATATATCTCACATATGTAGCATATGCATGTATATGAAGTGTATATGAAATGTATATGCATAGACCTATATGTATAAATACTTGTGTGTGTGTGTATGTATGCATGCATGCATGCATGCATGCATGTATTTATGTATGTATGGATGCATGTAATGTGATGTATGTACTTTTATGTATGTGCATATGAGAAGACGTGCACCTCCGTCACAAGCTCTAGATGCCCTTGGCACGCAACGCTCGCATGCAACGCTCGGTGCGTGTTGGTAGCTGGGGCCCTGAAGGCTAGCGCCCTTGAACGAGAAGATGTACAGCGCTCGGCAGCAAGCTGCTGAATGCTGGAAAGGCTCGGGCCACCTACAACACGATATTTCGTTTGTTCAGTCACAGGGCTGGTTCCGTTTAGTTTGGAAAATGTGCTGGAATTGCCGCCATAGACACCTTCATTTGGGTTCCCTTTGGTAGGCTTCTTCTACTTTGTTTCACGGTGCCTGCTTGGCCATGAGAGAATCCACGACCCCTACATCATCTCCAGGAAGAGCCTTGGCTGCAGGCATTGCGTCGCCTTAATTGCATGCTTGCACAGCCTCATGTCAGCGATTGAAAGCATGTCAGCGATTGAAAGCATGTCAGCAATTGAAAGCATGCCGCACGCCCTGCTGCCTTGAGAAACCAGCTGGGTGACTCCATTATGACAGCCATCACCATCTCTGGCCTGGCTGATGGTCCCTATGCCTTCATCCAGCTAGGGGTGCTGCGGAAACAGGACGGGTGGAGGTCTGAAATTTGTCGGGGTTCGGCTTTGTTCTTGCTCGTCAGATGTAGTGTGAGCTCATGACCTGCCAGGAGTGCGAGCGCGTGAAGGCGCTCTACGACGAGCTGCGGAAGTGCAACTTCCGGGTCATCGAAAGCGGGGACACGCTGGAGGTGCTGCCGATCCGCGACGAGGCAGAGCCTGGCAATGCCAGGCCGCAGCCTGAGAGGGGAATGAAAAGGAAAGAGAGAGAGGGGGAGAGAACAAAGCAAAGGAACGGCCACCGGAGTCAAATCCATGGAAAGGCCCAGCTGAGGAACATTGACTCCTAGGTGCTTGGAAAGGCTCCCCTTGTACGGCCTTCTTTTCAGGATGATGCTTCGTCTGAGTGTTTGTGAGTGATGTATCTTGTCCTGGGCAAGAAGATCACAGAAAGAAAGTTTGATCCTGTAACTTTGAGGTTAGATCATTCAAATCGTGCCAATTTGATCATTCCAACTTCTCCTGTAGTTGCTCTGCGCTGCTGGCCCAGGATCAAGACCTACCACGACCACCGCATGGCCATGTGCTTCGCCACTTTGGGCCTAGCGGTGCCCGGTCTGAAGATTGAGGACCCCAGCTGCGTGCGGAAGACGGTGCCCTCCTTCTTCCAGATCCTGGCCGCCCCGCCGCCTAAGGACAGATGCGCAAACTGCAAAAAAGAAAGATCGCAAGCCTTTTTGCAAGTCCCTGTCACGACTGCGTGAACATGACGGTGGTGCATAACGTGACGGTGGTGCATGTCTGGCCATACTGGCCGGCCTCCCGCTTTTGCCCTGTCAGGGCCTGGGTGTGGAGATTTGGGAGTGCGACCAGGTCACAGGGGAGCGGGTGAGACGATTGCAAAGTCCGGAGGACTTTGTGCCCCGCAAGTGAGGCCCAGCTAGCTTTCCGTGGAAAAACAGTATGCTTTGGAGGCTTTTTTACTTGCCGGTGAGGCTGTTGCCCTTTTGCCAGACTTGTGCAGCTCAGGTCATTTTGTGTACCATCTCATCGGGAACCGAAGCCTACGAGCAAGGTCGGCGTGTGCTGGCCTTTGCCAGCCCATGGTCCTACGAGGCGCCAGCTGCGACCATGGTAGAAACTTGACACATCCCTGACGTCAAAAGCAACAAGTCCACAACGCTTGCATGGCAGCATCGTGCGTAGGAGCCCAGCTGTGACTCTGACAGCGACATCAAGCGCCTTGAGAGTGAGATCCAGGCGCGGCAAGTGCAGCATGTTGCTGTTGAGGCCACAGCCAGCAATTTCCCAAAGAAGAGAGAGAGTCAACGAATGGACGGAGGGGGGTCATCGGAGGAAGGTATCGGAGGACGCAGGCTTGCAATTTGGCCTGCTTCGAGCCAGGTGCTGCGCACCCAGGGCGAGGGACACGCCAAATTGGAGGCACTTGCCCACATGGGGTGATTGTCTCGAAAGCCGGCCTTGAAGGCTTTGCTTGGGGCGGGGTGGGGGGTGGGTGGGTGAGGAAAGGGGGTTTGACGGTCCAGTCGGGGATCCACACGTGTGCATTTTGCTGCATGTTTTTGGAGTAGAAGCGTGGGGGGGGGGGGGGGGCGGGCGATAAGTGGGAGCTCTCTTTCAGTCTTCTCTCAAGGGTTGAGCCCTATTTAGAATCAGCTGACCCATGGCAGGTGAAAGTCCAGGACCTGGACTTTCAACTTCAAGAGCTCAGGTGCGTGGAGAGAGCTGCGTTTCCCATCCATGGCCTGCGTGCCGAATTTCTGAAGGTCTGAAGGGTTCAGGAGGCTTGCGGCCGCTTGTGGCTTGGGCTTCGAGCCCGCAGGTCGGCACTGCGGGGTGCCAACGAGCGCGCGGAGGCGTCGGAGCAGCGCCTGGCGAGGGCGGAGTCGGAGCTGCTGGAGCTGCGGGAGCTGCGGGTGCGGAAGGCGGGCAGAAAAGGATCCAGGAAGCAGAAGCAGAAAAAGCTATGCTTGAACTTGGGGGTTGGTTGTGAGTTCAGCAACTGCTTGTCCACTCAATCTTTTTGCACGGTCTCGGGTCAAACCTGGAATTGGTGACTTGGATTTCTTCATCTGGTACAGGGGTGCATCGGATGTACAGTTCGCAGGTTAAATACTCAAGTGCCCAGCATACTCCACCGTGAGGGTAGTGAACACATGACGTGATGAACGAGTTCCTGTTGGTTCATCCTTTGCGGACACGGTTGGCTCGAACACCTTGAGGACTTTACTGCGCACTGCACACCCCTAGGTCATTTGAACTTGCATAAAG